TTTTTTTTTTTTTTTTTTAGGCTGGTTTTCTCGCTGCAGTGACAGGGGAGTGCGTGGCGGTCGCGGCGGGGGGACAGCGTTGTCATTGAGACCGGCTGAGGTGATTCTCCACCAGCCAAATAGCAAAAAAGCCTGCACGGACCGTGGGGCTGAGTCTGCTCGAGCTGGAGGAAACCTCCTCCGAGGAGCAAACCGGAGGAATCAGTCTGCAAATGGGGTTGTGTTTCAGCAAAGGAAGATTTTTTTCCTCTAAAAGAGCCCCCAAATCTCCTATCGCACCTGAATATTTTTCTATTTTACATTCTGCAGCTGGAGATATTAGGGAAAGCTCTTGCTATGAAGCACGTAGAGTACTAAATCTGTTCTTAAACCTTAAAAATACCTTCTATAGTTTATTTAAAAAAAAAGGCAGCACTTAATACTCAATTTTTTTAATGTGCCTGGATGATCATAATTGACAGGCAACTGGCCGTGATTTCCCCCTCCCATCTTTTAATATTTTAGGAAGAAATCATATGGTTTTTAATCTTCTGTATGATTTTCCAGGTTAGTAACCCAGGCAATTCGGAGATTGCCAGCCTCGCCGCAGGCAGTGCAGCATTTTTTTTTTTTTTTTTTTCCTCCTCTGCTGCCTACCAGCTTGTCTGATGCCGTGGCTGGAGGATTCTTCTCCGGTGCTGTGCTTACCGCGAGAGGGCCCATCCTGCGCCTGGTTCTGGTGGTGTGCACGTGGGGATGGAGCTGGTTGCTGGACCCATGCTTTCTTGGGGTGGGGGAACCTCATCCCCCCACCTGGTTTTTGCAGTGATGCTCCTTGGGTGGGTGGATCTGTGGATTCAGAGCTCTCAGGATGGTTTTTTTGGTGTTATTGCAGACATAAGGACATGGAGCTGTTGGAGTGGGGCCAGAGGAGGCCCTGGAGATGCTGGGAGGGCTGGAGGCTGTCCTCTGCTGTGAGGACAGGCTGAGAGAGTTGGGGGGATTCAGCCTGGAGAAGAGAAGGCTCTGGGGAGACCTTAGAGCCCCTTCCAGTCCCTCAAGGGGCTCCAGGAGAGCTGGGGAGGGACTCTGGAGCCGGGATGGGAGCCATAGGATGAGGGGGAAGGGTTTGACACTGAAAGAGGGGAGATTGAGATGAGATGTGGGGAAGAACTTCTTTGGTGTGAGGGTGGTGAGAGCCTGGCCCAGGTTGCCCAGAGAAGCTGTGGCTGCCCCATCCCTGGAGGGGTTCAAGGCCAGGTTGGAGGGGGCTTGGAGCAACCTGTTCTGGTGGGAGGTGTCCCTGCCCAGGGCAGGGGGTGGCACTGGATAGTCTTTAAGGTCTATTCCAACCCAAATCGTTCTGTGATTGTTATAATCTACTACTTGTAGCAGAGCAAGGAAGCACTGTAGCTGTGGTTGCCGATGTTTTCGTTCAACGTCTTCTGTCAGCAATGAGCAGCGTGTTTAGGATGCTCCTTGTTGCCATGGAAGGTCATGTCCTACTTAGAGCTGGCGGGTGTGAGCTTAACGGTGAGTTATGGGTGTCATTAGGAAGGGATTCCTGCCAGCAGGTTGGCATGCAATGTTTGGGCTTCCAGTTTGTAGGTCATGATCGTGCACCATGAACTTCTTGGTTTTGCTCCAAATGAGGTGTTTAATACGGGCTCATTGGGAGAGGAAACTGTTAGGTTAGAAAAAGGACCATTATGATCACCTCCTCTCCCCTGCTGCCAGAAAACTCCACCAAACAGTTCTTGCATTGATCTTGTTGCTGCTGACAAGGGTGGAGGACTGCTCTTCAGAGACAGATCCACCATCCTGGTCTGCAGAGCAAGGGAGAGGTTCCAACATGTCTCATGGTGCCAAATACTCCTGTAGACCCGACAAAGGGCTTTGGGTGGCTGCAAGACAGAGGTCTCCAAGGTGATGTGCTGTGGATGCCAGGAACTTTCCATGGCAGCTTGTTTGAAGGCTAAATTATTGACTTTGCAACCTGAAGCGTAGTTGGTGTTGGCTTCTGACAGAAACAGTGTTGTCAGCCTTCCTGTTGGCCTCAAGCAGAACTTTCTGCTTGGGGAGAGCAGGTTCTGCAATTCCTGGTAGGGACACGAATCGGGTGGGCTGCTTCTCAGAAACGTGCTCCCAAATAAGCATGGGCCATTCTCATGTCACATCATGTCTTGGCATTGTTGGTGATGGAAGGTTTTGGTTTCTCTCCAAAGCAGATGTTCTTTTTGGATATCTGAAATTCAGCTTTGAAATTGAAGGGATTGTACCCACCAATGCCACCCCACACTTTGGAGGGAGAGTTTCTTCCAAATCAGCCCTTCTCCACCACACTGAGAAAGAGGTCCTTCATAGCTGAGCCTCCTGGTATGGGTGCAGTGAAAAAATTGCAGACTTCTGTTACTTTTTTTTTTTTCCAAAATGGAATTTACTGAAAATTAAAAATTACCCTGTTCTCACTCCTGGATTTTTTTTTTTTTAGATGGAAGGTTTTGGTTTCTCTCCAAAGCAGATGTTCTTTTTGGATATCTGAAATTCAGCTTTGAAATTGAAGGGATTGTACCCACCAATGCCACCCCACACTTTGGAGGGAGAGTTTCTTCCAAATCAGCCCTTCTCCACCACACTGAGAAAGAGGTCCTTCATAGCTGAGCCTCCTGGTATGGGTGCAGTGAAAAAATTGCAGACTTCTGTTACTTTTTTTTTTTTTCCAAAATGGAATTTACTGAAAATTAAAAATTACCCTGTTCTCACTCCTGGATTTTTTTTTTTTTATCTTTCTTGCAAAAAATTCTCTTTGGTTTGAAGATTCAAAAATCAAGCAGGGAGTTTCAAGCTTTTCCCATCTTTTTCAACCAGCTCTACTCACCAGTTCTGGTGGTGGGCGTTTGGAGTGGGTTTTTCCTACAGACTGTCAATGAAATGCTGTGGTGACAGCTTCTTGGCCCATCAGCACAATCAGGCTGATCAGGTTACTCCCTCCTTGATTAAAAAAAAAAGCATGCAATTTTTTTGAATTAATTAGGTATTAAATGATTTTACATATATATATACTATTTTTCCACCCAATAATTTCTGCACACCCCAGCTTGGGACACTGCAAGGAGACACTGAGCACTCGGGTGATGGATGTGGCTTTCCAGGTGGGCTCCTTGTTGGGTCTTTGGATGATGTAGGAGATGGATGGACAAAAGCTAAGTCCTTCCTACCGCATCTACAGATACGAGACTGTGTGTTCGTACCTCAACTCATCCCTGGTCCCCAACACAGGAGGGTTTTAGGTAATGATGGTCATAAATGAAGATGAACTTCACAGCGTGGGCCAAGTAGTATTTTATTTGCTGCTTGAACTCCACTTGGCTGCAACTGGTTTCCTACTTGTTGTTCCTGCTTTTGTGGCTGACTGGAAAAGGTTTATGTGTTGGGGCGGGGTAAAAATCAGGTTTTTGGCAGAGCACTGCAAGGTGAACACCTTTTCTTGGAGTTCAGTGGTCCAAAATTGTAATTTTAAATTTGTTTTTCCCTCCCAAGTGTTGGTCCCTAGCCTGCTCCCGGGTTGCACAGGGCAGAGAGCACAAATTCACAGCAGATGCTTCTCATTGAACTCATTTTAAATGGAGGGGTGGGAAATCATTGTCATCTGTATGAAAGATTTCTCACTCATATAACAGGGAAAACATTCCTGTGGATTGAATAGAGGGAGTTTTGCTGCGGTGGGAAATACTGGACAAAGGAAAATTCTTTGCAATCTCAAAAGAGAAGAAAACTGTGCTGATTCTTAAAGATTTTTAAATACTTTTTTTTTTTTTTGTAAGAAAGAGAATCTCCACATCTCTGATCCAATGCTAAGCTCCATTTCCTTTTCTAGAAGAGCAATTAGTCTGGGAAAACTGGCAACACTTAGCCCCAAAGTGACAGGAGTTCACCTTGAAGCAGAGTGTCTTTGAAATATGTGCGTATTCTTTTCTAATGAGTAACAATCTCACTTCCACACACATTTCAAGGATCACTGAACCTCTGCCGAGCCCCGTTGCGTGCACTGAGTGCAATCCTGCAAAGACCAAATCTCTTGTCCATTCGCTGCTGTCCGTGCTTTTGCTTTTCTTATTCAAAGCTGAATTATTAACATTCTTATGGATGCTTTGTGACACCCAACTGGTTCCAGCCAGCCTTTGTAATATAGAAGTGGGAAGTTTTTGTTAAACTTTAGTCTCGCCCAATGTTGGCAGCTTATTATTGTCTAAGGTGCTTGCAACCATCCCCTCTCTGTGGTATCTAAAAGAAGTGTTTTGTGGTACCTTTGTATGATTCGCATCTTTAAGTTTGTTGAAACAATTGTATGTGACTTCGTGACTCTCCTTAGCGATCCAAAAATCCCAATGATCTCCGAGCAGGCTGTGGTACTTGTGCCCATCACAAGTTGGACATTTCTTGCTGGGCTGGTCTTCCAAGAGCGCAGGTAACATTGACCTCCACTTGCCTTTGAACTTCATGAGTTGGGAAGTTCTGGAGTTGTGGAGAAGAGTGGAAGTGGTAGGAGTGGGAGGGAGACAGACAGGCAGCTTAAAAAAAAAAAAAAGATTTCTTTAAAGTGCTGCACTAAAAGAGTTAATAGCTTGTATACCCATGTTGCTGACGGGTTGGATTTTTTTTTTTTGGTATCCACCATGAGGTGGAATCAACTCTTAGATGGAAGTGCTTTGTATTTTGGAGTCGTATTTGCCTGTCTGTTTTCTGGGATGGATGCTGGGAGCCCTGGCTGTGATGAAAATAATGGGTATCGATTGCAAAATATCTTCTGGGGGTCCAATTTAGCAAAGTCAGCAACATGATTTCAAGCACAGGCAAATCTGCTCGCCCCAGCAGACAAACAGTAAATGAAACGGGTGTTGGCACAGAGATGTGTGTCTCGAAATGCACTGAGCAGGAATGTTTTTATGGGAATCAGTGTCTTTCTGTTCCTGGTGCCTGGAAAAC